GCAGAAGAAGCCCGGAAGAAGGAGGAGCAGCGCTTAGCCGAGGAGGTGGCTGCCAAAGAAGCAGCGGAGAAGGAAAGACTGACTGCTGAAGAAGCTCGTGCTCGGCAAGAAGAGAAGCAGCGCTTGTCTCGACAGGCAGGTGCCACATCCATGGAAACTGCAGCTGAATAGCATTGATTAGCCCAGGTGTGCAGAATCCGACATCAGTGCGAAGGATGAACCAGTTAGTCCTGTGACCTCGAAGAACCGCTTTGTGCTGTATCAACGAAACTTATCTGCCCATTCCAGCTCTGTACGAGGACTCGATCCTGCCTTGCGAACATTCGAACCTTAGTTCCGGAATAGCCGGTGGTTGTCGATACGAGTGGCAGCGATGCAACCACAGCCTGCATCATGTTTAAGCTACAATTCAAGCCTTCGTGCGCATGCCCTTTGTAAGGGAACGCAGCACTGCACAGCATAGGCTAATGCTGAAAGCTCAGATGTGGGAAGTGGGGGCTCTGTTGCCCAAGCATACTGGTAAATTCGCTGAAGACCAGGCGAACAGATCTGTAACTGACCGAATCAGGCAGATGCCGTTGCGGAAGAGCTGCTCCAGCAGGTGACGGCTGAGGCCGTTCTCGAGCAGCACGAGGCTGCAAGGAGAAGGGCGGCTCAGTCTGCTCAGAGCCCTGGCGAAGCCTCGAGGGATGGAGATGCAGTCGACACCATCACGGACGAAGTGCTGCAGCTGCTCATGCAGGAGCTGGCAGACGAGTTGATGCCGAGTGAGGGAGATGCTGAACAGCCTGGGGTGGAGCTGCAGTCAAAAAGAGCTGCTTTTCTCGACCTGCAGTGCGATCTGCGCTTGTGTGTGTAGCTCTGAGCGCTGTGACAGGGCTGCCTTCTACTCCGGGCTTCGAGGGGGCCAGCTGTTCGGTGAGGTCAATCGGGATTGCGGGAGAGGACGGGCAGATCGGACCCACAAAGATACTTGAATGTCAATGTGAGGCCGTGGTAAAGATTTGCCAGAAGTGGGGATGGACGGACTCCTTACCTTTTGCCGAGGGCTCATCGGGAATCGTGAGGGCATGGGCTTCTCTCCGAGTCACTCTGCCACCCCAAAGGTGAAGAAGCACGCTGCTCAGACCTAGTCAGCCGTGCTTATGCCGATTGGGACATGGTGTTCTCTAAAGCGTTCTCGAGGCCCTTCAATGCAGAAGAGTCCTACCTGGACGAAGCTATCGGATACCCACTGGCCATGATCGGCTTCTACTTTCAGGCTCGCATGGGCTAATGATGCACATTAGTTAAGGTTCGAATATGGGTCAAAAGTCTAGCCCTCCTCGCGATTTCTTTCACGCCGCACTTAGCTGACAGTTAACGCACTTCTTTGCGCTGCTGCCCTTCCCTCTGGACTGGATACTTTGGCCCCTGACTGCCTTGGAGAGCTTGCTGGAGCTTCAGGCACGATGCAGGACTTGATTGAACGGTCGGCTTGATCTGAACCGCTGCTCGCACCTGGCAGATCAGCTGGTGACGGGTCGGCTGACAGGCAGGGCGGAGCGCACGGTCTCGCCGCCCTGTTCTGAAGACCGACCCTGGTCTGCGGATGCACTCCGGAGAGTCATGCGCGGAGATGTCACCGCAGGCCGCAGAGGGCGAGCCGACACCCCCCTGGAGAGGCGTGAGGAAAATCCTTGTATTTTGACCGGCCAGTGCCAAGCTCCTGCACGGGTGCATAGGCCTACGCAGAGCCGAGTACCTGGTCACAGTTAGATTTAGTTTCTGTGCTTGCATGTTCCAGAATCGCAAGCCTGTAGCTTCTGTGCTTAGCAAATCCCTTCATCGTTTCTAGGAACTCGAAAACAGACCATACGAGTTGAGTTGCCCTTCTGGTGCTGGCGTGAGACGAGTGGAGCGATGCGAGTCGCGCAGTCACTGTGCTCGATGCATTTCAGCCTTCTGCTTGTGTACTTCCGCAGTTTGTTGGTTGAAGCCACTAGCCGCTAGCCTCCATAGATTAGTTAGCTGCTGAGCAGCAACACCCTGTGGCAAAGTCGAGGTCCCAGAGCCTAATCAGGGTGCACGTCCGCATCTGGGTTCGAGACATAGGAAACGCAAGATGCCAAGGCCTAAAATGGCGGAACTGGCTGACATTGCGCCGATCTTCTCCAGCTATTCAGCTTCCTCTTCCGGCGAGATAGACGGCAGGACTGAGAGTGATCTGCTGTAGAAAAGTCAGCAGAAGTGCCCTCTGCCGCTCGAAGGAGCTTTACGAAGCTTTGCAAAGACTGTAGCCTGGTGGTCCGGGCCTCACTATGTGTGCGGCACTACGTCCTAAGATCAGCTTCGTGATGGGAAACTACTGTGCCTGTGCCAAGAGGATCGGATCTTCAGCTCGACGGATGCCGACCTGATCTTCGCAAAAGTGGTGCCGAAGGTGCACGACTTCCCCGTACGGGAATGATCCAAGAACGGCTAGATTATCCGAGTTGTCTTCGAAAGTGCCTTGAGCCAAATTTCTGGCATGCTGGCTTGCCGAGAGGGACAGCGCCGCATCACCATAGCCGAGTTTGAGAAGGTGGCCGTTGCCGCTGATGCAGTTTGCATACGTAGTGCTGTTGTGTTCCCTTCACTCCGACAGGCTCTCGGCCTCATCGCCGAACGGCGTGGATGCAGCCAGGAGCATGACACGTCCACAGGTGCTGTTTACATGCAGCTGCCGACGGCATAAGGTCCCTCCAGACCCCAATTGAAAGAAGCTTCCCTCAATTCTGCGGCCCACTTGTGTGCCTCTTCCAGGAGGATGTCATGCAAAGGGTCGCCGACGGAGCGGGTCCAGCCCTGGAAGGTACCAAGGCCGAGGCTGCGCTTCGATGGCAGCTGCATGACTTTTGGTCTGACGCGCGTTCTGGCGCGTTACTGCAATTCGTGGTGTACCGAAGAAGTGGTGCGCTGTTGCCCGGTTGAGTGTGTGTGTGTGTGCGCGCGCGTGTGCTGCAATACTTGCATGTGTGCGTGCACAATATGAACATACATAGACATATATAAGCATAAATGAAAGAGTAAATAAAGAACGAATATAACCACACAAACTTCTATATATATATATACATACATACATACATATATATATATATATATGTAATATTCGTCATATAGAATTCTTAAAGTAAAGAAATGCATACGTACATATATATATATACACACACATATATATATATATATGTACACACATACGTAAGTATATTTGTGTGTGTGTGTGTCAAACTTTATCTACATCTGTATCTGTATTTATCTCTATATTTGTTATACATACACACACTTACATATATATATATATATATAGATATAGATGGATAGTGTGTGGATGTTTGCTCGTTTATTTGTTTGTTTATTGGCTCGATGAAAGGACGGATGGACGGATGATCACAGGCGAACGCAAAAGTCCTGATGATAAAAAGGGTCGAGCGATAGGACGATGGGAACGGCGTTTAGACCCCGATTGATAAATGAGAGGATCAGTTATGTGGCTTCGTTCGTCCTGCTTGTAGGGCGCCTTGTCATTTCCCAGGTGCGGTTTCATGATGACAAGACAACCTACACGGGCACCCATGCACGCGGCGGGCCGGAGTCTGTACCGAAGGCCTGACCAGTCGAGCCCAAACCCCCCACCTCTTGGAGGCTCTTTGTTTGGGATCAGCATTGTGGAGTCAGCAAGAGCACCCTTCTGCAACTCTGCAGATCAATGTCCCGTCTCTTCCGAGGGCTACGGCCATGTGCCCCAGTCCATGAAGCCACGGCGGTCGCTGTCACGGACATCTAGCGGAGCCGCTCACCTGCTTTGGTTCTTCTGTTAGGGACCTGTCTGCAGCATCGTAATTTTCGACGGCCGAGATCATGCGACACCCTGCTTGTTTGCAGATGGAAGCAGCAGAGAGAAGACAGTACAAGCAGCACTCGCCCAAAAAAGTGTGGTGCTGCTAACACTATAGACTATAGACAAGTAAATGGACTATGTTGCTGAGGGCACGAGGCCCGGTAGGCAACGTGGCGCTTCCGTGGCCCCCGCGCAGTGCGCATTTTCAACTGTGGTTTGGCCTTGGGCTGCTGTTTGGTTCTTCCACTTCTGTGCTGGGGTACCTTTTCGGGAGCACTGCCACAGGCGATGCGACAGAGATTTTCTTCGGTGCAACCACTTTTGTGACCACTTTTTTGATACAGCTGAAACCTCCACATGAGCACGCTGTGCTTGTGAAGAGAGCCAGAATGACCTGAACTAGCAGCGCCGGTGAGGCATGTGCTTTGCCAAATCTCCTCGGTGCTAGCACTGGCAGCAGTTCCGGATTGGAGCGCAAGCTCAGCCGCGCCTTTATTGCAGCATAAGTGTGGCGAGAAGGGATTGGGTTTGTTCTCTGCCCAATGGTACCTCCGTGGGGAGAGGTGCAAGAGTTCTCTTGTGGAGCTGCCTGCATTTTAAGGTTCTTTTGGGCATAAGAGATTAGAAGCCTCATGTGTAGTTTTGAATTCGTACTTTCTTGCGACAGAGGCAGTGCTCACTGTCAGCAAGTTGAAGCCTGCATTTATGATGAAGAGGTAAGTTTGCGCAAAACCGCACAGGCCTGCAGCACACCCCTTCGTCAAAACAACGAGAGCCCGGGAACACCGCACGCCGACATGGGGCACGATCTTACTTTTCGCTGCTCGTAGACGTCCTGGTAGCGGTAGCATGTGTGTGCTGTTGTTTTGTCATACTCTTTTCCTTGTTGTGTCGTGTTTAGCTTCCTTGCACAGGGGCAGGCGAGTAGCGTAGCCCCGAGCCGGACTGAAGCCGAGGAACAGGATCCAATGGATGGATACGGCCATTGACTCCCCTTGAAAAAGCTGCAACAATCGGTCGCAGGGAGGCAGGGCACTCGCACGCGTTTAGCTGTTCGTGGCGTCCTTGTAATGGACGCTGCTCAGTTGCCAGGGCTGTGGTCTCCTGGAGAATGTCTTTGAAGCATATTGCAGCCCAGGTCAAACAGCAACTTGATGGAACCGGTACTGGTAAGATTTCGTTGCGTGAAGTGTCGGCTGAGGAAATGGATGGGAAAGGTTTCGCCAAGCTGATGAAGGATAGCAAGATCGTGGGTACAAGGTTCACGACAACGGACGGGCGGGGGGGTGGGGGTTTGCAGAAATTGAATGGGATTGGGTCCTTCCGTGTGGCGTGTCTGTGCAGATCACGGGAGGATAGCTTTGGCACTTTCGTGCACCTCCCCGTACAATGTGTTTATGTCAGCGAAGCGGGTGGGAAAAAATGTGTTTATAGTTTGTGCTTGATTGATCTTGGCCTGTTCGCGTCATTCTTTATGCAGCGCGCCGCATCCTTTCTGCATAATGGTGTGTGAAGTGGGATAGTGTTGATCTGCTCTGTGTGCGTGTGTGTGCGCTGGCAAAGACATCGGGGCTGAGGGCCGCAGTTCGCGAAATGCACGTCGATCTTCGGTGCACTCCCCGTCTTGAATGTGGAGTTCGAGTTTCTTCTGTGAGTTTTGTCGCAGGCTCTCAGCTGGCATGTGTGTGCAATGCTTCTCCGTGTAGCAAACGCAGGATGCTGACTTGACTTTCGCCAAAGTCGTGTCGAAAGGCTGGCAATTCGGTAAGAAGCAGAGGTCAGACGGACGGCAGGAGCATGAGCTCAGCCATGTGATAGGCCTTCGGAGGATCGACTTCTTGCAGTTTAAGGCTGCACTACTGATCGTGGCAGACCCTCCGGCTGCATTGCCATGCATCTTTTGGTACTGGTGCAAGACACGACTGTTCAGTAGCACGGGTAAACAAAGATTGAGAAAGATGAGGAGAAGAAGAACGTGGAAGCAGGAGACATTTTTGAAGCTGTGGCCAGGCCCGGACAGACCTGTGGTAGCTTTGTCTTTTTTGCGAATCTGCAGTTGCAACCACAAGCAACTTCGGTTTGTTCATTGGCAACAGATTTTCTGCTTGTGCAGTGCTTTCACCCTTTGTAGCTACTCAGGTTGGGCAGAGGTCGACCGTAGGGTCAGCGTAGGAACGACAGTCAGAAGTAGAATGATTTAAGCTACCTGGTTCAGTTCGCCAGCAGCATCACGACTCCTGAAACAGTAGCTGTGCAATAACACGCATTAACACAGGTTCACAGGCTGATGTCATGCAGCATCTCATGGAAGATGCAGGCCCCCCACATAGATCGCTGAGTCGGCACAATCTGTACGCGGGCTGACATCGGAACACAGTGACAATTTTCATCGGACATTGTGGCGAAAAGAGCAACCGCAGCAACCGTTCTTGAACAGTTGCCCAACAAGTCAAAACATGTGTCACCCCAGCCGAATGGCAGTGCCGTACCCAAAGCCCCGTCTCCACAGTCCGACCCAAATACGCAGAATTCAAGAGTGGCTGGCCGGTTTTGAGAACGGTGACGGATGGGGCAGCGCATGCCGTAACCTTTCCTTTTTGGCAGGCTGTTTCAATGCTACTTTTTAGGCCTGTGTGTACTGTGGTTTGTCTCTCCGAGATCAGAGACCAGACCTCAAACGCCAAAGTTGTCATGATTTGCAAGAGCCCTATAGCCCACAGCTGCACTGTGCCTTGTGGCCTCAGGCAGTTTGCTGGTCCTCAGCTGTGCGGCACGCGAACCGAGTCAGTACGCTTCCATGATGCTGCTCAGCCGCACATAGCCGGGCTGCATGTAAACATGGCATTTACCTAGAAAGCTAAGGACATCAGCACATATACAGGCGTGCATGCCAATGGGGGCCCCGATGCTGTGGCCAAAGGCACATACCAAATTCCCAACACCCTATCAAGAGATTCTCTCGTGCATTGAAGCTGGTTCCTACGCATGGTCGACGTTTGTGCCATTGCCACCCAGCTGTGGCAGGCACTGGCAGCGCGCAGTTGGCTTCTTTTCGCTTGTGATTTACAGCACAGGAGCGACCAGTATGAACATGAAGAATGTTGCTCGCGTGCGCGCCGGATCTGCAGCAGGACTTTGTTGGGAGAGGTGGACGAGCCCGGCTGAACCTGGCAGTAGGATCACTTCTGTGCCCAGCTGTGGTATGAAAGGGGTCCGAGCCAGGCCCTGACGCCTTCCGTGTGCCCTTCTTTGTGTCATATATCTCGAAAAGTTTTTCCTGCGAAGACGCTACATGCTCCCACTCCCGAAACAACTAATTCAAGATGTTTCACCACAGGCCACTGACCGTTCATCGGCTCAGAGTCCGGAAAGATTGTGTGATGTGTTATACAGTCAGTGGCAGTGTCCGGTTCTAGCAGTGAAAAGAAGCTGGCTGTGGGAGCCCAAGCCCTGAGGATCAGAGGAGGTTCGTACGCAGCAGCGATTGTAAAGCTTGTTCATGACTCCTACTGGTAGAGCTCCTCTTATGCTTGCCCTTGTGTAATGTTCGGGTCTGGGCTCCAGCCATGCTGCCACACAGGAGCCATCTGGCAACTCAGAGACTCCTTGCTTAGACGCAGCTGTAGCCCGCGCGTGCAGATGAATGTCCTTCACGCTATTAGAAGAGGAGGGCATCTGCCGTAGCATCTCGCACTTCTAGCCTGACCGAGCTCGGTACCTACCGGAAGCTGCACTGCGCGACGGATGGCTTGTGGTAGAAAGCTGGCGCAGAGCGTTCCCAGAGCGCAGGCTGGAGCAGATCGACTGCTCAAGCCCCTTGCTCGCGCTCTGCGCTCACTGCCCACCCGCGCTGTTTGCGCCCGAGCGTGCTGCACCGTTGCCAGCACGGTACGAAGCAGCCACCTGTGCTGCAGTTTTTGTTCCTGACGGACCTGGCGTCAGAGTCTTCTCACATCGGCAGGTTGAATGCACAGAGAGGCCCACGACCCGGGTTAGATGTCGGCACATGCACGCGATAGGCGGAATTGTGTGGCCTTTCCTGTGCATCTGACCGCAAAGCTCCCAAAGGCCAGGAGGCGAAAACACGCCTTGCACTCCTTTAGCTTTAAGACAGGGGGACAGCATGACAAAGAGCTTGGTGGTGCCTTCTGCGGGACAGGCACATGCCTTCGTCATCTTCCAAGAAGCCGTTCAGCCTCAAGGCCAAAGTCCCCGACGGCTTTTTGCCAGCGGTGCCCAATGGGTGCGATTGCCTCTCAATTCGGCCCGAAGGGCCAGCAGCACAAGATTCTTCTCCTGGGTCTGGTCGGTTCGGGAAAGACAACCATGCTCCACTCACTGAAGGCTGGCGAAGTCCGATGCCTGGTGACTCATGTCATGGTGAAGTCTAGACATCAGAGGAACGGCAATTGCGGTTTGCACTGCTCGGATCCAGGTTTTTTCGCTACTCTAGATTCTATCTGACTCTATATACTTCATATGCTTTGTCTTGGTCTCTTTTCGTCTTTCTCTCACTTCTTCTCTCCGTCTCTTTCTGTCTGCCTGTCTCTCCGTCTGTCTGCGTGCTGGATGACTGGATGAATGGATGGATGTGTACATGCGTACGTACGTACATACGAGTATACCAACATACATATGTACATACACCCACACATACATACAAATTGCGTACCTGTATGTTTGCATTTACATATACACACACATGCATACATGCATGCATTCATGAACGCACGCCCGCACGCCCTCCCGCCCGCCCGCCCGCACGCACACACATATACGTATATGCGCATGTACATACATATGTGTATATACAGAGAGGATCTCTCTATCGTGCTCTCTCGCTTTTCTCGCTCCAACTCTCTAAATTCCTGCACGTATTTGAACTTCCATCAGAATCAAGCTATGCCGGGACTTCTCTCTGTGTCTGTGCGTCTGTGCCCGTGGATCCTTGCGTGTTGCTTTCACAGAATGCCGATGCCATGCAAATCAAGGTCTGCATGGATATCCCGACGATTGGCTTCAATGTGGAGACCCTTGAGATTCGGGGCGGCATCATGAACATCGCGTCGATAGTGGCGTGGGATGTAGGTGGGCCGGACAGGATTCGGGGACTTTGGCGCCCGTACTATACGGACGTGGATGGCCTGGTTTTTATCGTCGATTCCAGTGATCGAGACCGGGTGGATGACGCTAGGGAACAGATTCATGAAATTTTGCGGGAGGAGGAGCTGCTAGAGAAGCCTCTCCTCGTGCTTGCAAACAAGCAGGACCTGCCGAACGTCATGAGTGTAGCAGAGCTTGTGGACAAGCTTTCCCTAAACCAGATCGGAGACCGGCGATGGTTCATCCAGGAGGGCGTGGCCGTTGAAGGCAAAGGCATCAACGATGGATTGGAATGGCTTTCACGCCAATTCGACTGCCATGGGAGCAGTAGCTAGCAAGCGTTGCAGAAAATCCTGGAGCTCTTTTCCAAGATAATCCTCGGAAGGCCCGGCCACCTGGATGTTGCGCCTGCTGACACCTACGAGGCCACGGCACGCGGCTAGGGCAGAGGTCGCCACTGCACGCTCATGATGCGGGGTGGCTGCTAACCTTGACTGATGCGCCATGGGCAGAGAGATGTGCATTGTGTAGTTGCAGTCCATGGGTTTTAAGTCACTGACGCGAGCGTATGGGATGTGTACAGTATCGCCCCTAAAAAGCTGTGCAATCACTGCAAGCAGCTATGTTGCCATCGCCAGTTCTCTCTGTCGCTCGCTCTCTCTCTCTCTCTCTGAGAGTGTCCTTCGTCTTGTTCCCCCCATTCTGATAACCTTATCACGTCGCCAGCGGTGCAGCAGCCAGAAATGCCAGTGCACTGGCTTATGAAAGATGGAGAACCGACGCGTGGCGACTATTCGGCTTCCCGTGAGCATTGAGTTGCTAGCTAACTCATCTGCATTCGATAACCTGGCAGCTGGACAGAGATGTGGCAGAGCTAGGGTTCGTGTAAAAGGCTTGGGAGTGGCAGATGGATGCAAAGAAAATTACGTCTCGGCAGGGGGAAACGGGCAGGACGGTAACTTACCGGCAGCAGGCAGGCAGAACCCGTCATGTTTTCACTTTGTGCCTGCCTTTCTGCTCGCTTGTGTTTGCCTTCCAGTGCGAACCTGCATCTTTATGATGGAGGAAAGAATTTCATCAAGGATGTACAGTGGAGCCTGATGTGGTGTACTGAATGGTAGCTCCGGTCTCCTTGAGGCCTTACTGAGTATTTCCATTACTGAAGGCACTGCAAAGATTCACCCCCGAAGAACGTGCATACTTCCTCAGCGTGACTTCGGGGTTGTCGAAAGCCACGTGTAACCTGCCAAGTGAGTCGTGGAGACATGCCATGCGGGAGGTGAGAAGGATCCGCTTCCGCTCCAAGAGCAGCCGAAAGCATGGGTGTAGAGCCTGCAGTCTTCACTGCTACACCAACTGTCCAGTCTCAAGGCCGCGGCTTTTTGCTAGTGTCGGCACTCTTGTGCACAATGGGTGTAGTCGCCTCTCTCATGGGTGGCCGGCGCAAGCGTCAGCTTCTTCTCGTGGGTCTGGACGCGTCGGGAAAGACAACCATGCTCTACTCACTCAAGGCTGGTGAGGTCCGATGCCCGGTGTCAACCTGAATTCAGGCTGACTGCCGATACCGCTGCGGCTGTTCCTGCTCTCGCATTGACATGTTCTTGTGCAATCGTGTCTATACCAGCCTCCATAGCTCTGTTTGTCTCCCATCTGCGCGTGCACGGGTGAGTTGCGTCTGCCTCCCTCCATCTCTCTGTCAGTCTCCACGTCCGGTACATCTCAGAAAATCTCAGAAAAAGGGCGGCCATTCCAAATTCTGGACGTCGATCCACTCCTTTGGCCACACCCCGGTTCGACGTGGCAAGTTGAACCCAAGGCTGCCCTGCAGCTGCGAAGGGAAGTAAGGAGCATGTCACAGCTGGAGCCTGGGCACGTTTTCAGACATGCCCTGGAGCACCGGAGTTGAAAGTCGAAAATCGCTCATGTTGTACTGTCAATATAGTACCGTGCCCGGGAGCAGCAAATGCCTTGTGCATCGTCTGCAATAGCGATATCTGCTGGCTGCTAATGTATGGTCGTCCGAAAACGCAAGCTAAGGTCGTTACGACGATTCCTACGATTGGCTTCAATGTGGAGACCCTGGACGTTCGGCACGGCATGATGAACATCACGTCCATGGTGGCGTGGGATGTTGGTGGACGTGACAAGATTCGCCCACTTTGGCGACACTATTATAAGGAGGTGGATGCCTTGGTCTACATGGTCGATTGCAATGATCGGGAACGAGTGGATGAGGCCAAGGACCAGCTTTTCAAGCTCCTCATAGAGGATGAATTGGCAGACAAGCCTCTCCTCGTCTTCGCCAACAAACAGGACCTGCGGAATGCCATGAGTGACAAAGAGCTTGTGGAGAAACTCTCCCTAAACCAGATCCGAGACCGACGGTGGTTCATCCAAGAAAGTGTGGCCACCAAGGGAAAAGGCATCTATGAAGGGTTGGAATGGCTTGCGGGGCAGCTGAAGGCTGATGGGAGAAATGGCCAGCGAGCAGTCTCCCGTCCTCCAACGACTCCAGAGAGCCACGAGCTCCCTTCCAAGGGTGTGCTGGCCAAGCCAGAGCACCCGGATGATGTTTCCACGGCTGACACTGAGGATGCCACGGCTAGGGCAGAAGTCATCACCGCACACTCATGATGCGGGGTGGCTGCTAACGTTGACACCATGGGCAGAGAGACACGCATTGTGTAGTTGTGTGCCTTGCAGTCCATTGGTTTAAGTCACTGACTCGAGCATATGGGATGTGTACAGTATCGCCCCTGAAAAGCTGTGCAATCAGTGCAGGCAGCTGTTTTGCCATCGCTCCCTCTCGCAAGTTGTCCCATGATGCATGCTAAGAGCCTCATCCCGTCTCTAAATGGTATATTCTCGCTACAATAGCGACTGGAATGCGCACCGAAAGTAAGAAGCACAATGTGTGGTGCTAGGACCGTAAAGCACGCCGGCAGCCATTGTTGGACCGAGGAGCCTGCGTGTCATAGTCATAGCCGTAGTGCAGCACACAGGTCCACCATTCAAAGCTTGCTGCCGGATGCCAGCTCAGCTTCGAAGCACTTGCATCACTTAAACCAGCTGGAGAAAACAGCATGCTCGAGCATTCCTTGTAGGCATTTGCAAGCAAAATTAGTAAAACAAACCCGCGGAGTTGCCATGCAGCCATGGACCGCCGCGACACACCATTGGCTGTCGAAGATGTGGTTTTGGCTTTGCGGGGTGCTTCTATGGTATCGCAGGTCCGGGCGGGCGAGTCGGGGGGTGCTAGCAGCCTAATGCATGGACCAGGCCTTGATTGCATCTTTTGAATAGGATTGTGCCAGCGAAGACAGCTATGAAGATGATCGCGCATCCACTCGAACGAAATCTTCGAGGTGCTCCATTGCGGCCTGTGTCATGTACCCTGATGCCTGCCTGAGTTCAGGAGTGTGCAGAGTTTGGCCGTCGCTTGTAGCAGCTACCATCGTTCATCTTGCTCAGGACAACAATGTGAGGCGTATTTGGACGGCTCTTGTGGCTCGCCCGGCAATCGCCTTGAACCAAGTGACCTTTGGTGCACCTGAGGTTGTATTCTTGCTGGGCTACATCGGCACTGTGTTCCTCTACAGGTTGATTTTCATCCGTTTCTATGCCGCAGCAAACGAGGAGGTGCAGGCACACAGCCGTGCATTTCAAAGCAGCATGAGCTTTAGCAGGAAGAATGGTAGGTTCGATGCTACTCCACAGTTGGCCCGTGAGGAAGCCACAACATTGAACGCAAGTCATGTTTTGGGGTTGACTTGCAGTACTACATCCTGCTTGTGATCTGCACGCAGTGTGCAGAACCCCGCATGACGTCACGTATTGCCTCTCAGTGAAGCCATGTGCACAACGCAGTCTATGTGGCAAGCTTGCAACAGCTTCAAACAGCTTTTCCGTCAGAGCCATGGGCGCCGCCTCTTCACAGAGACGGCCTTGTCAAATCGTTGTGCTGGGTTTAGACAATGCAGGTAAGGGGACGTTGCTTCGCAGCATGAGCGGCGAGCTGGCACTCTCTATGCCGAACATCAAGACCCTTTCAGGTGTTGAGAGCGCAGTACATGGAAACATGACCCTCTCAACTCTGGTCTCTTGGGATTTGGGTGGTCGGCAGCGGGCCCGGGCACTTTGGCGACAGTATTACCAGAAAGCAGATGCACTGGTGTTTGTCGTTGACTGCGCAGACAAGAAACGAATGGAGGATTGCCACAACGAGTTTGAAGATCTACTGAAGGAGGAAGATCTTCTGGACAAGCCCGTTCTCATTTATGCAAACAAGCAAGATAGGGTTGCGGCTCTGTCTGGCCAGGAGGTGACAGATCTGTTTGGGCTGAGGACGCTTCGGCGCAAGTGGCATGTGCAGGAAAGCAGCACAAAGACAGGAATGGGAGTACATGAGGGTCTGGAATGGCTCACTGAGGCTGTCGCTTCAAACTCTTTAGAGACCTGCGAGCCCGCAAAATTTACCCCGACAGTGTCCGATCATTATGCTGACGATGTTTCAACAGCGGACACAGAAGATGCAGGCTCCAGGGCAGAAGTTATTTATGCAGATGCATAAATTGCGCTAGCATTGGTCCTTTAGAACGCGGCACTAGCAGAGCTTTTTCAAGATCTCTGTGTATACCTCTTTCCTGCCTTGTGCCCTCACCGTCTTGACTACGACGGAGCTTGCCGAAGCGGCATGTGCCAATGTGTTTCGCGTGCTTCGCGCGCGGGTCGCAAGTTCATATCGTGTTTCCAAGTGGCGATGTACAGGTGCCTGTGCTTGGTTGGAAAGAGGAGATCACAGAGCAACACTCCGACGCATAGTGACGCAGTACATTGCAGCTCCACGTGTAGCACTGGGACACACGACATGGCTGATGCAGGAAACAGACGTCTGGAACGCCTTCGATGGCATGGTGGATGTCATGTTCATCGTAGACCTGTGGATTCAGTTCCTCTTCACTTACACAAACGAGTTCCTCGGAGGGCATGGCAGAGAGAGAGGGAGGGTCGCATGAGATCAAAACGCGAGAAGGGCTTTGGGCTTGAAGCGAGATACACACAGATGTTTGCATACTACGCAGCATTCGCAACTCAGGAGAGGAAAAGAGGCCAGGGTGCATGCGTGCATATGTAGCTCAGGCATGCTCAGGCTGCTTTCTTACTCTGTCATGCTCTCCCGGCTTTGTGACCTCGTGCAATGGCAGGTAGCTTCGCCAAGGAAGATTGCCTGCAGATACCTCGCTGGTTGGTTTTGGGTGAATATGCTGCTGGGCCGCGATGAAGCATGAAGTCGGTGTCGTGCTGGAGTCTTCTTGCAATAATTTTTGCCAGGATCTCCTGCATTCCAGAGGATGCCATGGGCCCAAAGGATGGCATCGCAATTGGTACCGTGGTTCTGAGTTTTGTGGTAGATGCAAAGCGAGCTGAAGCCTTGCCTCCAGATTGGCTCAAGAGGGCCCAAAGTGTGCCGCTTTTGAGCCTGTGGGCTGAGGGGTAGAGCCCTCCCTTCGCAGAGCATGCAGAAGGGAAGGAAAGTGACGACATGCTGGAGGGCAAATGAAGTGAGCCTTGCCCGAGACAGCTTCAACTCCATCGTGGGTCGTCAGAAGATAGACGTTACAGAGGTCATGATGAGACACAGCAACATGGGAAGGCAAGCGGAGATGGGACCAAGTTGGTGTCCGTCTGGCCTGGTCTCGCGGCAGCTCGCGGAGGTTTTGGCGAAACGCCAGGGCACGAGTGACAAGCTGCCGCTGCGCTTGCAGGAAGCACGGAATGCCCGGAATGCCAAGAGTTCAGAGCCAGCTCCCGAAGCCTTCCCAGCACTATCGCCATCGCCAGTTGACCCAGTGCAAACCCCCAAAGCAGTCAAACCAATGCTGCCGCAACTGGCTCCTCTCCACTTAGACTCGACTGAGTTGCCTTGGGCATCACCAGCGAAGAGCACGGGGACCTCGGGAAGCCCTGTGAGCCCACCTTGTGTCAGTGAGAAGATGGGCCCAGAAGATTTGCCTCAGCCCTTCTCGGCCCGGGCGAGGCCGACACCCAAGGCACCTTTGCCAGACAGCCAAGCCTCCGAGAGGCCAATGTCCGCCAAGTGCAGGGTCAACACAGCGACAGGTGCCAGTGCCAGCTCCCAAAAGTCCAGAACAACTTTCTGCTGGCGGCCAAATGAACACAGCTTACAACGGAACAGCTTCAACTCGATGGTCGGAAAGTCAAGACTTGATGTGACAGAGGTGATGATCCGTGATGCAAGCATGGGGCGACAGGCGGAAATGGGGCCATCCTGGTGTCCCGGCGGCCTTTCCTCCAGGAAGATGGCAGAGGCTTTGTCTCAACGAAGATGACCATGAAAGGCCAGGAAGTAGAGTTGCAAAGCAACCTTTACTTCGGAGATCCGTGTCTCCACCGTCTCATGTAGTGGCTGCAGACTGTAGAGTTACTTTCTTGTTCCAAGTCAAAAAGAGTATCCTTTTCGTCTTCGCGAGCTCGCTCTTCTGAATACAGCAAGCATCTGAGCTTCGTTCGCCGAGGCCGCCAGTGCCGTCTACGCTTTTTTTGTCGGGGAGGAGAGCATCGAGGCAGAGACCTCGAGAAGGGAAGCCGTGAAGTTGGCCAAAGCATCTTTGTCCTTGCTGACTTCGTTTCCTGAGGCAAACAACAGTCAGAAGACTGTTCGGCGCTTCGGTGGCATGTTGGTCCTCATAGGGGGGGGGGTCAACCAAGCAGGGGTAGAGGTCAATCCTGACTTCTGCACGGGTATTGCTATTTAGATTCAGAAAGCTGCACCTGAAATGCCTGCAACCCACGTGGCGATGTGGATCGGGAGTTGGGTGCTGCTGCTGTCTCACCACAGCGAAGGCTCATGCGCATGCAGCGTATGACCAAGATCGTCCGCATGCTGCGGCTCGCGAAACATGCCTCAATGTCTGCATGTCGCAGTGCAAATCTATGTCGAGATGATGGCTGTGCCACTGAGGAAGCTCACGCAGCTGACAGAGCGGCTTAATCTTGACACCTATATCCAGCGATATAAGGTTGTCGCAGTGTTGAATACATTGTTTGGGCTGATCTGGGTGGTGCACGTCATGGCCACCTGGCAGCAGGATCCACTATGCCAAATTCATCTCCGCCTTGACATTTGCTTTTGGAACATTGGAGGCCTGTGGCTGGTATCTTTGCGCCACCTTGCACGAGGATGTACTGGAGACCTGGTTGGCTCGCCGACTGGTGGGCATCAACGAAGATGCTAGGCTGTTGAAGGTTGTGGCTGATTTGGGATTCTGGGGCGCTCTGCCTCGCGTCCTCACGCTCAGGAGATGCTGCTGCAAGGGGATCCCTTCGACCAGTGGGCGCACGCCATGTATTTCATTTTCTCAGTATCCCGTCAAAGCACCGAGACCTCGGCCCAGGTGGTAGGCCGTTTACAGTCCTAAGCCGAAGGCGATTCGTACTTGCTTCATGGCCTGTCACAACAAGTCGCTTAGATCCCCTGCTCAAGGCCTGATGCCCTTATCCAGACTTCCAAAGAACCCCCTTTGCATAGACATCCCGGGTTGCGTCGCCCCAAGGTCTTCACGACCGTCGGCTTCGGCCCCCTTGCTGCAGGTTTTTTATGGGCCACAGAGTAGCTCCAAGTGGACCCCTACTTTTTGGTGCTTTGCTGCCTTCAGGTTGAACCCGCCGCACCATTGAAACTCAGGTGATATCTCGGCATTCACTACCGGCGAGATTATGTATGTGACCTTGACCATGATGGTCGGAGCCGTCGTCCACAGCATCATCATTGGCCAGGCAAGTGCTGTGCGTATCCCGCTGCATGATGCTACTTGCACTTCGAATGTCACGATCAGGTGATCAACGAGGTGACGAGCGACAGTACCGAACCTCGACCCAATATATGGCTTGGTTTTTGGGGGTCGTTCTGGCCGTACCCCTTCATTGTGCGACTTGTCCGGAGGTGAACGCATTCCTGAAGAACAAGTTGAAGCTGGCCAAAGAGTTTGCAGTTCACGCGCAGCTGGATTCCTCCGGCTCCAAAGCGCCACTCGGCTGGGCTTGGCAGCAGAAGGCCGGCCAGGCATTGCCAGACAGCGCCGCCTTTTTTGAGGTTGTCCTTCTGGCTGGAACAAAATATCCGGGACCTCATGGGCCAGCAGTACAAGATGGATGAGATGCTGCAGCTGATTGCAAACGATATGCCCCTGCACCTTATGAACCTTTTCTGAAACTGAGTCCTCATCCTTGGGGTTCGGGGGTAGTCGCCCGAGCTGTTCTACCACGTTCTACCGGACAGGGGGACGGTTGGAAGCCGAGCATCGACAGCAGTGCCAAAAAAGGAGGGGTCCTGTGGCTGAGGAAAGATCTACACTCGCGGCTCTTCAATGGTCAGCTTACGCGCAGCAGGCCAGGGCATGTGCTGCACGCGGCAGGTGGCCGGATGGCCTTGCCTATTCAGCCGAGAGGCTCCGGTGTTAAGGGAAGAGTCGCTGCCAGGTTTCTTCGTGTCCCCTTTGTCTCGTCAATGCCACCGCGGCTGCCAATGCTGCTCTCGCTCGCTGTGGTGTCGAAGCAGTACGAGGGGAACCAGCTCCTCTTCCAAGCAGGACCCGGAGCTTGGCTTCCTAGAGTCCAAACCCCCTTCAACCTCATGTTTTCTGTCAACTACGCGGGTCTTTGTAGGAGATGCAGCCAGCCACCTTTACCTCGTCTTGAGTGGCACCTTTGCTTTCGTTGCACGTCCTGAACGGCACAGCAAGAGCCCCAAAGCAAACGCGTCTTGGCAATGAAGGAGGCTTTTTTTGCAGGGTTCACGCCTCCCCTGCACCATGGTCGCGCATCGCATTGCCGTGCTGCTCAGGATATGTGGCCCTACCAGTTGTTCTCGCACGCCAGTAGCTTGCGGCACTCAGTCGTATGAGAAAATCGAATCCAAGTAGTCCGGAGATGTTCGCAGGGTCGTACGACGATTCTGCAGGTTCTGTACTTGGTTCTTTGGTATGTGGAAGCCAACACAACGCACCGTTATTCTTGAAAAGGACACAGTGGGACATCTCGCCCATCGAATTCCTTCAACAGCCACCTAGGTTACTTCGGAAATTATGAGCTGCACACCGGTACGAAGCAGCTGCTTGAATGAGATGTTAGTTCCATATTTGTCGCATGAGCAGAACCTCCGTTGGGGAAGAGAGTCCTTGCAAAGGTTTCGACGAAGCACTGCTCGCTGCGAAACGCCTCAGGGAGGGCAAGTCCTGCGCCTGCAGAAGGACCACTACCAACGCCTATGCGGTGACTTTCCTCAGTTCCTGTCCTGATCATAAAGCCGTTTCATCACCAACATGCTGCAGGGTTTGGTGTCGAATAGTTGCCACTTTGCACCGGAAGGACGGTCTCAGTAGCATAATGTCACCGTGGCTGCAAACATGCAGAAGCAACTGAGTAGCAGCTAAGGTTCGCGGCAGCTTGGAAGTATGAGGCTAATCGACGAGAGTCTCATCGTTGTTGGCTGCATGCGAACCACACCCGTATGCTCACATACCGCTGCCCGATCGCATTATTTTCAGTCGCAGCATGATGCAACACAGATCCTGACATCAATTTCCTCCCGCCGTTTTTCAGGTCTTCTGGCAGTTCGCCGGATGCAGAAACTGTGTCGCTTCTATCTTCGGAAAGCAGCATGTCAGGCAAAGTGAATGCATCGTCTCCTTGAGGTAAGAACTGAACGCGGGTTCCTCCAAACTAAGGCTGACAAGACCAACAAGGACGAGGCAATGAAGACAGACAGCTCGGGTCTTTTGGTGCCTGGCCGCGCGGCTGCAGAAAAGTCCCGGACGGCGGCATTCGCCTCGGTACCGAAGGAGTGCTCCCCTCTTTCGCGAGGCCGGAATTCTTTGAGGTCAAGCTGCTCTTCAACCGGCATCAGCGAAGGGATGGGTTCTGTGTCTATGGGTTCCGTTCTTCACGAGAATCGAGGCTGCAGTTGCGCTTCTGGTCACAGCAGCTTTGGCACGTTCCATGTGAGGCCTATGTCCCCTTCGCAGGCTCAACAACATCGCTGCTTCGAGCAGCTAAAAAAACAAGAGCCGCCCAGGAACTCAGACAGCAGCGCAGGCCGAAAGCCGCTCCTGCCGCCTTCAATGCCAGAGGAGCTGACTTCCTCACCACCTTTCAACTGAAACCGTCAGCTGTTGTTTCTCGGAGTGTCGCCAAGAGCGAGGCGATGGGTTGAGCGGGGTTCGGGGTTCCGAATGGGCTTTGGAGTTCGGTAGTTGGTTCTGGAGCGGGTTCCGGGGTTCCCAGGCGGGAAGATGTTCTTGCGCTTGAGCCTTGGCTTTCCTTTGGGTTAAACGGTTAGTGTGAGCATGACTGTGTTTCGGGCTCGAAGCGTTCACATGCTTGTCCTTGGCTTGGCAAAGGCATTTCCTTGGTTGTGGCCGTGGCTTGCTGTTAGTTTCTCCCTTTCTGTCGTTACGCAGGTCGTTGCTCTTCTCGTGCTGCGAAACTGGTATCGGTGTTCATGTCCTGGCTCTTGGCATCTTTTGGCTCTTGGTTCTGGCTCGGTGAGTGCACTGCCTTGGTTTCGAATCGGGCCGGGCATGTGCGGCTTGGCGCTGCACGGTTAGCTGACGTATTGTGGAAAGGTCTTGCGTAGGCGGGGGGCCCACCTGAAGAGTTTTTTGTGGGGACGACAGCATACGATCTCGTTTTTGCGACTTTGTGGCTGATTGGCTCCAAAAGGACGAGGATGCTCGTCAGAGGCGGCTTTTTGTTTCCTGGCTGCAGATCGGCACCATGCAATTACTTTATGATGTCTTTTGGGCCATAGTCTGGCCTTCTCGCTTCGCATGAGGCGTTCCTTTGCTGCGCAGTTGTGAGGCAGATGTGGCGATGTTGCGGAGCGAAGTGGAAATGCAGGCACAGCAGGGATGAGTCCCAAACCGTCTTGTCAGCATAGAGCTCGAGAGTTGGAACGGAAGCCTCGTCCTTTCCAACAGATCCGGCATCTTCCCCGGTTTATGTCAAAGCTTGCACTGCAAAGTCGATTACACCCCAGACGTCGCAGCATCATTAGCATTGCCATATTCGGCTCATGTTGGGCCTATTGCCAGTGCTGCACCAGTAGGAGTACCAGTACTCATACTAGTACCGCTACTACCACCACCTCTACCCCATAATCACCACCACCACCACCACCACCACCACCGCGACGACGACTTCTACTACCTCTGCGAGTCAGCACTACTACTAGTGCTATTATTATAAGTATGACTACTACTGCTACTACTACTACCACTACTACTATTTCATTCCAATCGCA